ATCATGAGGGCAGCAGAGTGCACCATGATGGAGAGCAGCCGTCCTCCATCACTCACAGTTTGCCATGCCTGCCCTCATGGAGGAAAAAACAGTGGTCCTAATGAGTTATCAGGACTGATGGCTTATTGTGTGCGGGACCTCTCGGTGTCCTTGACTCAACAAGGATGTATAAATGACCCGAGTCACAAATCTTGATTGTCCCTCAGAAAAGAAAACAAGCTGTAAGAGTTATGGCGAGTGTGTGAGTGCACGCGAGAGTTTGTGTGTCCGTGACTGTAATTCTGAGAGCGCATCTGCATGAATACCTCAGTATAATCCCAGTAGTCACCAGATTCAAATGTTTGCCCATGCATGCGTGAGCTCTAATAACGTTTGACAGTGAGCACTCGAACCCCATTTATGAAGGTTGTTATTCGCAAATTAGCTGCATGTTCATAAGTGATCGTGTTTGTGTAGGGCAAAGGGTGCGCTGTACAGCAGTCATGTGACGGCAACATAGCGAAAGTCATTTTCATCGGAGACTCGCAGAGAGCGAGCAGATGGGAGTTGTGATTAAAACCGAGATATTCCGGAGCATTAGATTAAAGAATGATGTCAATAAAAAGCATTTTAGGCTGCAATAACAAAGGCAATCTGAAACACGGCGCTGCACATTCTCATTTGCACATTTAAATGCGTGTGATGTTCGGGGTTAGATTCCTGGTCTAATGATGCATTTAGCCCGTAATGAATCAGTGATTGCAGCTCCCAGGCTCAGCTGCAGGGACTGCAGCAGGGCCACTTTGAAGTCACCACATTTGAAGTGGAGTTTAGAGCGGTGGACTCCAAAAATAAGCACACACCAGAGGGAGACAGATCTGCAGAGCCTCAGCGTGCAGCTGCAGGTTCATCCTCAAACTGGAGCAGGTAGATGTGACCCTGGAGGAGCCACACAGAGATGCTCTTGCCTTCAGCCAGTAAACAGGAAAGTGCTAAACATGGACCAAAATATACTTTTGCCAGTCATGGAAGTGTATTTTGCATTATTTGTATAAAAAAGATATTTTTATATTCAAAAATATATTTATAATTTTTTAAAGAAAGGAGTTAGTGCTTTTGTTCCGCAATAATTAATTAATCAATAAATTATATAATATAATTATAATATAATTGATCAATACATCTAAAAAAATATTCTAAAAAAAAAAAAATCTTTCTATTCATCTATTCATATTCTCAGCATTTATAATAACAAATGTTTCTTGTGCCGCAAATCAGCATATTGTACTGTAAAAATCATATTGATTATACAGGTGTTTTACCTGTATTTTGAATTTTGCCTTGCATTATGTTTTAGGGTTAACTGAATGTCTGTAAAATTAATGGATATGGCAAAAAAAATTACCAGTAGATTTTTTTTTAACAGTGTAGAATGATTTCTGAAGGATTGTGTGACAGGAATAAATTACATTTTACAATTTACTAAAATAGAAAACATTTTTTTAATCATAATTATATATTTTTTATAATATTACTGTTTTTATTGATCAAATAAATGCAGCTTTGATGAAGTCATGTTGTCAATTTAAGTAATGTACTTTGTTTCAGTTCTGGCCAACTGGCAAGTAACTCTGTGGTATTTACTGACCAAAGCCAATTTTTACTTGGCGAGTGTTGGTTTTGAACCATGGTGCTAAACTTTGTTCCTTGATGTGTGTTATGGCTTTGCTGTGGGATTAGGTCAGTGAAGTATCGCTCAAGTTGACCTTAAGATTAGATGGCTGAATAATTGACTTAACTTCTAACTCTCAGCTCCATTGAACAATATCTGCCTCTTCATAGTACATTTAAGCAGTGGCACGCAGCCGCCAAGAGATCACAGGACGTAATGTAAAAGGATTACTACAGATAAGAGATTGTGGTCACAAGAAGCCATGTCAAAGAGAAACAGATGTACAGGAGGGTGACTGACCCGTCCAAATGAGGATTATAGCTATCATTTCCCTTAAACAAGAGCTTATTTCAAAATCAAAGGTCTTAGAAAGAGGCTAGATAATAGAAATCTCATTCATGCTCTACTAAACTCCCAATGGAATAAAATATATGCTCATGGAAGCAAACTACCCTGAAGTCTCCGACTCTCTCTCTCTCTTTCTTTCTGTCACTCTCCCTGTCATTTTAGGTTGATTCTGCTCTCTTGTTAGAAAATAACAAGCATGGCTTTAGCCCCAGACAGCCACTGAATTGGAGTTTATCCTCCACTTTGACTGACAGACTGTATATTGGCTTTTTCCTTATTTTTTCAAACTCAGATCAAGATACATGGGACATTTTTGTTGCACCGTCAGAACTCAATCACACCATGTACTTTAATGCATTAAGCAAATAAGCAATTCAGCACTGACGTATTACCCTGTTAAAAAATTACTGTAAAGACCCTTTTAATGTCACAAAAGATTTCTATTTGAAATAAATGCCCTTCTTTTGTACTTTCTATTCATAAAAAATGATTTTCTTTTTAAATGAATAAAAAATGTCAACACGTTTTTTTAAATAAATACAAAATATCCATATTTCACTAAGCAGTACAGTAATTTTCAACTGAATATATATTCCGTTCAAAAGTAATATTTTTTATGTTTTTTAAAGAAGTTATGCTCATCAAGGCTGTATCTATTTAATCAAAAATACAGAGAAAAAAATGTAATTTTGTGAAAAATTATTGCAATTTAAAATAACAGTTTTCTATTTTAATGTACTTTAAAATATAATCTATTCATGTGAAACAAGACTGAATTTTCAGCATCATTACTCCAGTCTTCAATATCACATGATCCTCCAGAAATCATTCTAATATGCTGATTTATAATTGAGATTCCTTGATAAATAAAAAGTTAAAGAGAACAGTGTTTATTCAAAATAGAAATTTTGTGTTACAATATACAGTACTATTCCAAAGTTTGGGGTCAGTCATTTTTTTAAGAAGTTTTTTAAGAAATTAATACTTTAAGGAAGGATGTGTTAATGGATAAAAAGTAATAGTAAAGACTTACTATTCTGAATAAATGCTGTTCTTTTTAACTTTTTATTCATCAAAGAATCAAAGAAAAATGTATCACAAAATATTAAGCAGCACAACAGTTTCAACACTGATAATAAATCAGCATAGAATGATTTCTGAAGGATCATGTGACACTGAAGACTGGAATAATGGCTGATGAAAATTCAGCGCTGCGTTATAGAAATACATTATATTTTATAGTATATTAAAATAGGAAACATATTAGAAATTGCAGTAATATTTCACAATATTGAAAACATGGAAACACAACATGTGTGTGTGTGTGTGTGTGTGTGTGATATTTCCAACATTTTTTTAGTCAAAAAAGTGCAGCCTTGGTGAACAGAAGGCAAAAAAAATCTTACTGACTAGTAGTGTATATCACGTATATCAACCAGTCACCATTCAGGATCATTTTTACTAGTTATTTATATTTATATTTATATTTTTATGTTTATTTAGGGTTTTCCGTATGCTGTCCATCCTGTTCCCCCACCATGTGTGCAAACCTGCCGCTGTGTACTAATACACACTTAATGTCTGTCTGTTTCCAGAGCTAACTGTGTCCCTCTTGTCTCCGTCTCTCCACAGACACTCTGTCAGTCACACATCCTTCCAGCTTCCACTGAACAATTACATTAGACGCCTAATGCAGTGAGAAATAACAGAGCGCACAGCACTCTCTTTAAGCCCAACCCACCAACTGTTGCCTGGCAACATCACACAGCTCGACTAACTACAGCTCAAGCTATGCTAAAAGCGGAGGTCTTGTTGTTGTGCAGTTGGAAATAAGCATTTCTTAAGCAAGTTTGATCTTTTTAGTTGTGGGTTTCTGAGGCCAGATGGAACACTTGAATGTTGAAGTAAAAGCAATTTTGTGTAGGGAAATAATATTATTTGATTTTAAGTTTTGATGTTAAAATAGCCTAATAGGCAGACATTCTGTAAGTTATTTCATTACTTTATTCTGTTTCTTTTGTTGCTATTGTAGAAGCTCCTTAACATCACATCAACAATTTTCCCATAAACATCTCTAGTATACTACTTCTCAGACTTCAAGAGGTCTGTCATCAGCTTTTCCTCTTTGATCTGTTTAAAAATTGTCCTACAGTTTGACTTCTAGGATTCATCGCATCATGGAATGTATCTTTTATAAATAGAGCTTCTTGCATGGGCTGGCCCAGTTTTCTCGCACCGTCACTTTGTGAAGATGTCTTCTGAGCGGTGAACTCCTTAATGCCAAGCTGAAATCACGCAGATAGAGCCTCACAAGAGGCGGGTGTTACGCCGCGGGTGTTACGCTCTGTGACTAAACTGGGAAGAATCGGCAAGACTTAGGGATGCGTTTTTTAGGGATAGAGGTTGGATCCCTGTCTATCTTTGTGTCCGGGTTTGTTGCATGGCAAGCTTAAGGTTTTCCAAACTGGGGCAGCAAGAAAGTGGGTTAGAGCTTGGCTACTTTTAGAGCCAGCACATTGAGGGGAACTCAGTTGAGGTCTTCTCTCTTTCGCCGGACTCCTTCAAGAGTCCAGTCCTGACCTGCTTTGAATATCAGGACTGTAAATATCTCGATCATTATCAAGTAATTGATGCCTGACCCATAAAGAGTTATTGTTCATCAATAACATTCAAGTGGTATCCTGTAGATGTGACTATATTATTTTTACTATCTCTGTGAAAGTCCATTAAGGTTGGTCTCCCATGGGAGATCAAATGATACAAGTTCCCATAATGTATTTATAGCCTCATTATTGGTACTCAGCGCAAATGCAGTATTGCAAATTTACTTTTAAATCTAAATTTAAATGTACTTAATAAATTCTTAAAGTCAACCTTTGTATTGAAGCATTTAAAGTCAAGGCAAATAAACCCGGGCTCAGTGTTATTGTTGTTAGTGACAAAGGTGTTTTTAAAGCCAGAATTATTTCCACTCATTGGTTTCCTCACTGCGTCTCCACAGGCGGATCCTCAGGGACGAGACATCTCAATCCGGCCCTTCCTGGAGCACTGCGAGAACACGCACATGACCATTTGGCTGGGGATTGTCTATGCCTACAAAGGCCTCCTTATGGTGAGTGAGAACATTCTAGAGAGCGTCAACATGATCGCCATCTGCTCCTGCCGACAACGGCATCTGAATATTCTGCCACTTCCTTCTACATTTGGTAAATTATAATATATAATACCTCACTGTCACTGTGTTTAAAATGCATTCATAATATTGGATTCTGAGTCTCTTGTGGTATATCAGGAAATACAAATGCCATGCAAACAGCAGGCACATTTTACTGATATTTGTCTTTCTTTTTTTCTCCACAATTATCTAATGTTCATCACCTATAGACAATATTATAACAGTGTTAATGGACAAAAATGAGAGTTCTTAGATATTTGTTAGGGAGCAGTGTTGTATTTTTCATATTGCAGTTGCCATCGTTGTATAAAAAAAAAAACACTCACTAGGCCTATGTCACTATATGAAATCACTATAACACACCTCCTTGTGCATCTTATTGATTTAATATGTGTCTTTATGTCTTTTATGTTTACACTGAACCAAAGTCTACAACCAAAGCTTGCTTTAACAAAAAAAATTCAATCAGGGGCCACAGCAAACTTCCAAGGGGGAGAACAAGATGGCCTAAATTATTTATTTATTTATTACGTCTCATTTAATTAATTCCCTCAACAACTGACATTTTTATTTTATGCCACAGCCTTCTCACAGAATTTTAAAAGTGAGAAACTCAATAAAATTTCCAGGCATTTCCATGCCATTTTTCCAGGCATTTTTTATAATAAATATTCATTCTTCTGGTTATGTCAAGCTCTAAAATATTGTATTTTGTAGAATTTGTTATTTGTTATTGTTATATATTATTAACATATAATAATAATAACAACAATAATAGTCATAATAATGATAATAATAATAATAATAACAACAACAATAATGATAATCATCATCATCAGGTCGCTATGGGCGTCCCGAGTTCGAATCCCGGCTTAAAGACCTTTCCCAATCCTGCCCCCCCTCTCTCTCTCCCACTTTGCTTCCTGTCAGCTCTAAAACTGCCCTATCATCTTATCATAATAAAGTCAAAAATGCCAAAAATAAATCTTAAATAATAATAATTAGAAGTGAATACAAAATTCATGCAAATTAATTTACAAAAGTGTAATCCTGAAGAAACTTCTGGAATTTTAAAATGTCATTATTTTATTGAAATATTTTATTATATTGCTACTCCAAATTTCTGTAAGCAACATTTGAAAATGAGCAGATTTGTCATTATAACATAAGTACCAGAAGTAAAATGATTGGCCTTCAAATATTGTGTTTGTGAAAATGGGTGGCCTTGGAGTCAAAAAAGGTTTAAAACCACTGCTGTAAACTTTAACATTGTTCTTTTGCTGCCTTGCGTGAGCTGGTATTTCCTACTGGAAATGCAAATCTAGCAAGCTCACTGACTGGATTTTGACACATTGTACCCATAGGAGAAGAGTGAGATTGCTCTTTCCAATTAACCTCACTTTAGATTACTGGTAAGGTGCCCCAGGAACCAGAATGCCTCCAGTCAGTTAATTGCCCACAGCACTGACCATTATCTCTGAGTCAATGGTGGCAACATCCTCCAATAAAAACCTGCCCTTCGACTCACTTTGTGCTCTGTAGAAATGATTTGTCCATTTGTTCTTGCTGCTGTAATAGTGGCAGGTGGTTCGGCTGACTGGCAGGCCATTACCTTGGCTTTTCCTCTGCCCTACTGTAGATGATCCGTGTCAGAGTTCAGCTGTGGGCCATGGAGTATCACTTCCTGTCTCTTGCCTCCCTCGTCTCTCTTCTCATCTGTGAAAGATTTGGTGGGAGGCAGTGTTGGGAAAGAAGTGATCAATGTTTAACTGAAGCTATAGTAGTCATCATATTGTAATAGTGTACAAGTGAAAATGCCATCGCACTCACGTTCTCATTCTCAGATATGTGATATTTCAGAACTTCCTCTTGCCATGTTTGAAAACCTGCTGCTAAATCAGCATGGCTTCACTTACAGCCAACATGCTCAAGTAGAACAAGAAAAGAAAGAGAGAGTGAGAGGGTGAACGAGGAAAAAGAGTGAGACGGGCTGTGATTGGATTAGGATTGAATAGATTTGTGGCGAGTGGGTGCAGAATCAAATCTCGGAGTGTGCATCGAGTTAGCTGAGTCATATTTCTCAGAGTTCACTCTAGTCTCACACAAAGGTGCTTTGATTACTGCTCTGACTTCCTGAGAAAGTTGGACAGGTGTTGTTAGCTGCCTTTTGGGGCATTAGGGTGCTAAATAAGTCAGGCACAGTTCATTCTCACTGGCTTTATGATTCATCACTGTAAACTGAGGGCTGCACAGAGTGATGAAGGTGAAAATGGTTGTCTATCGAAGATGTCATATAACCAATAATCTTATTCTGTCTTAGATCTGGTGTAAAAATATATTTGCACGTAACTGTGCACAGCCTAAAGGTTGCAAAATCTTGTTTTAACTGCTCTTATACCTGTAATGATAAGTAATTCTTTGCACTTTTCTCTTTGTCTAGCTGTTTGGATGTTTCTTGGCCTGGGAGACCAGAAATGTGAGCATTCCAGCACTGAATGACAGCAAGTACATCGGCATGAGTGTGTATAATGTGGGCATCATGTGTATCATCGGGGCAGCGGTGTCCTTCCTGACCCGGGATCAGCCTAATGTGCAGTTCTGCATCGTGGCACTGGTCATCATCTTCTGCAGCACCATCACGCTGTGTCTGGTTTTTGTGCCAAAAGTAAGTACTGCAATGTACGGTCTGATCCAGCCCTATTGGGAAAGAATTGTAGAGGTCAGCGAAATCCCTAGCAAGTTCACCTGAATATAATTGAGAACAGTGCTTACTTTGCATCCCTTGGAGCTCTCTGGAAATAAACACACTGAAATTTGAAAGACTGCAAAGATTCCACTCTCCCTCTAAACAAATACGTCCTACACAGAATCAATGCCAGGTTCTCAACAGTATGTCTTTGTCCTCTCTCTTTTGTTAGTTTATCACAATGCGTACAAACCCGGATGCTGCCACACAGAACCGGAGGTTAAAGTTCACCCAGAACCAGAAGAAGGAAGATTCCAAGACGTCCACCTCAGTAACCAGTGTTAACCAGGCCAACACTTCCCGTCTGGATGGATTACAGTCAGACAACCACCGCCTCCGAATGAGAATTACAGAGGTGATTGAAGTCAATCATAAATTACAAAATTATTAAATTCTTAGAATGACAATCTACTTTAAACATTAACTAAAATGATGCTAAAAATGACTAATACACCACCATGCAGATTAAAGGGGATTTATAATTTTATAATATTATTTTATTCCCTCTAAATTATATTAATGCTGTGAAGAAAAATAACTGATACAGGTAAACAAAAATATATTCAGCAAATCAAAATTTGTATATTAGATTAGGTATAAATATAAATTAAGACAAATATATTATTATATCAAGACTATTAAATATTTTTTGGGGGAGCAAAATTGTGCATTTTTGTTTTGATTTGTGATATCAATTAATGTTTTTCTACTTAAGGTATTTTTTTAGAGTAATGAAACATAACTGTATGTTTTAAATTTTTTGCATTTCAAAATTGTGAATTTTTTTTTTCATGAACCAGGAATTAAATTGTTAAATAAAGATTTTTTGATTTTGTGTTACAGCTGGATAAGGAACTGGAAGAGGTGACCATGCAACTCCAGGACACTCCAGAAAAGACTCCATACATTAAACAAAACCACTACCAAGATGTCAACAATATTCTGAGCATACGCAACTTCACTGATGGCAAAGGTAAGAAAAGTGGATATCAAACCTTGTGTTCCTCACCTGTCGATCACACACAGCTGTCAGTCTGTGACTCATTTCAGTATGTGACACTCTTTTCCTCTGTTACTGTCACCCAGAGAAAAAGAATAATTTATTGGAGTGTTATACATTATTCACCCCAAAACATGTCAAGCTGAAGTGTCATATAAATTGCAAATTCTGACTCAGTTTTCAGCTGAATCCACCACTGACATCTTGATGGAAAGGCAGCTTTCTGAACATCATGCCTTTGTTTTCAGATGGAGAGAAATCTCTGAAGAACCACTTAGAGCAGAAACCCCAGGCTCAGTGGGGATCCATGGATCCTTCTAGGATAAGCAGAGGTCCACTAGAAGACATCAACTCACCAGAACAGTAAGTTTACACATCGGCATGCACAGTGTGCCGAAAACCTGTTTGAACACCTAAAAATCTATGAATTAAAGGGGTCATATGATGTTGCTAAAAATAACATTATTTTGTGTATTTGGTGTAATGAAATGAGTTTATGCGGTTTAAGGTTCAAAAAACACATTATTTTCCACATACTGTACATTATTGTCACACACGGCGGGCTAGAGTGAGCGGAGGCCGGAGGCCTAGAGTGAGCGGAGGGCGGAGGCCTAGAGTGAGCGGAGGCGGGTGGGCTTGAGAACGGCGTGGCCGGCGGATTCGACGAAGGAGCGTCCGGCGGGCTTGCGGCAACCACATGTGATGACCCCGGTCTGGACTCCGCTTCGTCCATGGTGAAAGCCGATCCGGCGATCCACAGCGTGAAGTTGATGTATTTCCTCAGCGACCAGCACGGATCAGCTTCAGGCATGACGAAGCGGATATCGTCCTCTTTTGGAAGACCAAACAAAGTAGTTTCGCTTTCACAACGAAACACACAGCGCCTTCACGACATGGCGGCGGCGGCAACAACAATACTACAGCGAGAATAAAAGTTACGCCTTCTTTCTTTGCGTGAACATTTGGGCAGCGTTATGCAAATCTTTCCACATCATGACGTAGACAGAACGAGTTAGAACAGTGTTAGAACGAGCCGTTTTAGGTAGGCGTGGTTGACTCTTAACTTTTATAAAGAATATATCTTTGGATTTGAGACTTTAGTCTTTGCAACTTTACAGATCTTCTTTATGCACCAAGAGCTTGTAACACTCCAAAGAGAAAGGAAAGGCATCATATGACCCCTTTAAAAAAAATAAAAAATCAGGCCAAGTGGAATTTATTAAGATATTTAGAACCACAAGCACAATTTCCAAACATAAATTTTGACAAAATATTTGCTAGTTTCTAAATTATAAAACATTAGACATTCAGTCATTCATTCATTCATTCATTCAATGAAATCAAAATTACATTTTAGAGTCTATCTTGTTTAAAGGGATAGTTCACCCAAAAATGAAAATTACCCCATGATTTACTCACCCTCAAGCCATCCTAGGTGTATATGATTTTCTTCTTTCAGACGAATACAATCAGAGTTATATCAAAAAATGTTCTGGCTCTTCCAAGCTTTATAATGGCAGTGAATGAGGGTTGAGATTTTGAAGCCCAAAAAAGTGCATACATCCATCATAAAAAGTACTCCACAAAGCAATGCATTTGTTTAAGAAAAATATCCATATTAAAACTTCATAAACCATAATCTCTAGCTTCTGCTTACTGTCATACGTGCATTCACAGCGGATGACGTAGGATGTAGGTAGTGTTGTCACGGTACCAAAATTTCAGTATTCGGTACCAATAA